AGCATTGCTTGTAGCTACAGGGTGATATGATAATAATAACCATATTTTTGTTTCCCACAGTGAAATGCTGCTGCCCCTGTCTAGCCCCCTGCATTCAAGGTCTATTGGATTTAATTTTTTACATTCTAAAAGCACCGTTCAGGCTAATAATGTGGTCAGTCGGGAAGGCAACTGACGAAGATGATGCTTCCCCCTTACAGGACTCAGAACGTGGCGGAAATGACTACGGAAGTTCACCAGCAGTCCCTCCCAGTTGAAATTAACGTAAATTTAACTTCTATGTGACGAACATTGCGTAGGTAACATCACATTTACAGACGCCTACATATACCGTATACTGTACTAACATAGATATAGATGCATGAAATAGTCAACTTGCAAATAGATTGGCGTAAATATTGCCTAATATTTGCATGCTCGAGTTTTGAAAACAGTGTGACGCAACTTATGAACTTATTTATTGGGAACCAGGGGTGGCGCCCCGTCGGGGAGAGTTTCTCCACCCCCTCCCCCACGTCGGGGAGAAAAACAACAATTCCTCGGGGAAAAAAAGTATATGAAATTTCTACTTCAAAATCGATTAAATATTTTTCAGGGTCTTCGCCCCCTCAGGAATACTTTCGAGAGATTTTGAGCGATGGCCGACCACGCTCCTTTTTTCGTCCTGGACATCGCCATAAAGGTGATCAGGGTAACTGAACCTGCATTATGGTACGTCATTAGTAACTTACCTGTACAATTATCATACCAATGTTATGCTACATTATGTACGATGTACGATAATAGGCCTAATTAATGACAGCGTGCACAGATATTACCTTTAATCATTAAAAAGCACGAAAGCTTCATAGGTGCAATGGCACGAAAGCTTCATATGTGCAACATGAAACTAATTTATCTGGATCCAAATCAATATTCATAATATATTTCGTTTTCGTTGATCACAATAAAGAGTCGTAATTTTTACTCACATGCTACGTTTCGTGAATGCTCCATTCACTTCTTCAGGTAGGCTGGTAATGTTAAGCTGGTTTTCCACTAGGCGAATTTATTCGCGCGAATTTTCAACATCAGTAGTTTGGTAAAATGTCATGAATTATTTATAATCATCCATAAAGAACATATTTTCCGCATGCGCTATTTTCAAGTCTGTGTCAGCCTCAATGAACTGCTCTGTGCTCGCGCGATAGACCTAGTGTTCGATTAGAAAAATAATAATAAAATCAGATTTTGAGCGGATACAATTGATTTAAAAAAAAACCACTTTGTTTTTAGGCGAGACCTAGTGTTCGATTAAAAAAAAATAAAATTAGGTTTTGGGCGAACTGAGCGGATACAATTGATTAAAAAGCGGCTCTTTTAATAGGTAATTTTAGATTAGTCAAGATGAGATGGGCATATAGGCCTAATTAAACAAAGGACCTACTGACCACAATGGTCTTTGACACGTGTACTTTTACATTACTTGCAGAATTATTTATGTTATGCAACTTGTTTTTGTTTTGTAGGCATTTTCTTATGTTGAACTTAAATTAGGAAAAAAAATTATTTGTTTTTAGGCCTATGATATTGCTGACGGATGATCATGTGGACCAATATATGGGCCTAATTTGCGAAGTCTTAAACTTCGCAGCATCTGCATCGAGCAAGTTTCTGTTTTATGTTTGCATTGATTCAAATACACGCTCTGGAGTGGAACAAGTGTTCTCGGACTATAAACCATAGGCCTAGAGTACAAAATTGGGTCCTGTGCACTATATAATTATTATTTATTATTTAGTTACCAACCGTCTCGCATGGTGCGAGCGTCCCACATTTTAAAGTGATTTTGGATGAAACACATTTTGCAGAAACACATGCGTGATCCTAAATTCGTCACGCATTTAGCAAAAGTGTATGCGTGATAACGAATCATCACGAATTCAGGGGAAAATGTATTTAAAATTTGAAGAAATCGGTCTTATTAAAAATATAAAAACGGTCAAGTAACTTGAGTCATTAGAGAGCATTATTTACGTGGATACTAATTTCACTGACGCGTTACTAAAAATTGATTAGTAATGAAATGTTTGTGAAGGTCTACATACAGTAGTTCGGATGCTCAAATTAAACATACATTGAAACTCAAATTGCTTTATTAAAAATATTTTTGCTTATGTACCCGATATTGTCAACATACGCTCCTTGAAAACGAAGTACCGGTATATTACAGATAAACTTGTAGAGTTTGAACAATATAGTTATAAGTAATTTTTACATTAGCCTATCAGAACAGGCGATTATTCTCGATGCACACAGATTGACATAGGATAGACGTTAGTTGTCGGGTTATCAAAATAATTGTATTATGTTGATTTGCAATTGTTACAAACTCGTAGTGTATGTCCACGTATACAAGATTTACGTCCAGATTCTTTGAAATGAAAATTTCGAACATTATCACAAGCTAGCGTTTTATTTAGCATGTTTTATATTAGCAGAAATTATAATATTTTGTCTATTTATAACAATCACAATTAAATTTTAAAAAGAAATTTTGTTTGCTTATTTTTTGTAGCGGTAAATTATTCTAGTTACTGTACTTGTAACATAATAGACCTTTTCGCTAAGCCCGACCCCTTGGATGACAGTGTTAAAACATACGCGAACACGTGCGTTTGTAGGACAACACGTGTGTTTGTGAGACGCGCGCGTATTCCTAGCGTTGTTCTGATTAGTCAGGTGTTAAGTTTGATTGACACTCCGGAAAGGTTTATTGTGTAACAGCATGATGTTCATACTGGTCAGAAAGCTAAATTATTCATTTATTGTTTAGACCCAAAACCCTCAAAAATGTATTTATCATCTATATTCATTGCTAGCGTTTCTCAATACCAAAGTTACTATCATATGAAAAGTTCAGATTTGTTTAAAACTGATTATTTTTGAAAATATATTTCCACTCTATAAATGTTTATAATGTTTCTAATAGTTCAATTAGAATACAATGTAAATTATGTGCCAAACTTTGTCATATTTTCATATCATATTGATAGACGATCTTGTAGAATAACACAAAGCTATTGCAGTCAATGGCTAAATTTGACAGTACATTGTTCCAGTTAGAAAGAGGTGTAAGCCTACATGATGATTCGTTCAGAACAAGGTTAAATCTACATGGACGATACACGCTATACGGCACAGAACTGTGTATTGAGCTCATATTAAACCAGCACAGCATGATCTATTTCTAAAATGCCAACGAAGAAAAATACAATGGGACATGAGAGAGCCACCTTAAATATCAGACACAATTTTTCCTTGATGTGAAAATGAAGTTAAACAAAACACATATTAGAATTCCTACAAAATACCATTTAATAAAAAAAAATGTTTATTCTTACATTTAAGCCTGAAGCAATCAGTTTCACTTAAATATTTTAAATAAGCATATCTTTCAACGATGTAACCAATACATTGTAAGAAGGTGTTATTTTAAATAAGCATATCTTTCAACGATGTAACCAATACATTGTAAGAAGGTGTTATTTTAAATAAGCATATCTTTCAACGATGTAACCAATACATCATAAGGTGTAAAATGCCTCAATTTCCTAGCAATGACCTAGTGCATTGTTCATCAGTTACTGTTTAATGGCTCCATTTCATCTCTCCTCCTTCCTGTCTTGTTTATAACAAATTTCATAATATGGTAAATACTAATCATAGCATAACTAATATTATTATTTTACTTTGCTTCCGTTTATTATTATCAAAATCATATTGAAGCAGACATAAAAACATAGAATGCTGTGAAGGTGATGTTGAGCCGATGGTCACTGTAAACTGTAAAACATATCAGTCATTTTCTAGAGAAAGTATAACTTGCAGATCTATTGGAATACAGTACTGATGTGTGTGCAGACATGACTTAACAGAGCATGAACTTGAAATCGATAAAAACTACTAGTTTAGTGTACCAGTATTCTCATAACTCTTTCAACGATAATGAAATCCTTACAATTAATAAAAGTACAATAACATCATAGTTGGCGAGAGTACCAAGGTTGAAATGCAGGGTTGATCACATTACATTATTACAAGTTATTGTTTTTGTTTTTTGCTATTGTTTTTTATTGAATTGAATCATTGCAGTAATTCCAGCAGTCTCATTGTACCCCCTCCTCTTCATCATCACTGCTATCAGCTCCTGGGTGTTCAGGCATCAGTTGCTTTTCTGTTTGTTGCTCCTCCTGTTTACTGGTACTACTAACCTCTTCTGAGGTACTCTCATCTTTATCGGATTCTTTACTTTGACTGACTGGCTTATCTTCTACTTTGTCTGCTGAAGCTTTGAGTTGACCTTTCGGAGGGGCTGCTAAGCTCTTATATTTCTAGAAAATGAAAAATAACATTGATATTAATATTCATTCACAAGGGGCAGTCTAAATGTATCTTAAAATAATGGAATCACATATTGTGCCCGCTTGCAAGCCATCAAAGCCTCAGCTGCTTCCTTAATTCCTTTTGCTGATGAGTGATATAGTTGAAATATTAACATTTAACGTTGCTCTATTAAACTGTCAAATAAGCCAATTCCTAATTTGAACTGCACATGCCCATATCAAGGTCAATTGACATAAGCATACACACAACATAGGTTTATGACAATGACAATGACAATGACAATGACAATGACAAACAAATATTTATTTCCTTTGAGCATAACAATTTACGAAAAATATAAATGTACAACATTTTTAAAGATCAAAGAAAATGGGAAATTCCTGAAGCATAGCTTGTGAATGGAAATCCCAAATTACATAATTAAATATTTCTTTTACATATAAGGTTAAAAAATAATTCAAAGGCCTATTTTACTTAAATAAAAGAAGTTTAAAATTTATTAAAACAATTCTATTTATTTTCTGTAAATTATATTTTGTATTCATTAATAACAACATCTTAATTACTTTTAGTTTCTTTATATTTATAGATGATTAAGCAATAAATTAAGTACAGTGTCTACAATCTAAAATAATATAAGAGAAAATTTGTAAAAAAATAAGTTAACCTGAATTCCTATAACTATAATGTCTTCTTTCTAATAACAGCTAAGTTTTAATAATAAAATAAACTGTTAAATCGTTATACATATATATATATACCTATATAGATATACCCATATACTCATACATATATATATAAACATTTACATACCATACACCCATACGCATACACATACGTACATACATACATACATAGGGCCTACATATATACACCCACACACACATACGTAAATTTATAGTTGTTAAAGTGAAACTGACATTTTTTGGGCAATACGGTATATAAAAATACACAGAATAACATTCTAAATTATAGCAAAACACAGATTTCCGCTATAAATCTAAATTATATTTACCTAATAGATTCTTTTTGTATATTTTAAAAAATAAAATAGTATTCCTAGAATCTTTTATACTGCTAGGTAGACTATTCCATAGACTACTCCCTTTATTTGTCAAGCACATTGATTTTAGTGTAGTTCTCCTATAATTAATACAAAAATTGAAATGTTCTCGCTGTCGGGTAGCATAATTATGCATTTCCGTGAGTGGCCTAAAGTACTCCTGGATAATTGGTGGAAGCAATTTCTTATGTGCCTTATACATAATAACAGCAGTGTTCAATTCAATAAGATCGAAAATATTTAAAGTTTCAAACGAGTAAAAAATAGGTTTGGTGTGGCATGTTGATTGACTTGAAAAACCCATTGCATAAGCAAGTGAGATGGGTGATTCCATTAGAAGAAATGAACAAGAAGACACAGAATGTAAATGCAGCAGCTGTACAGGTGGACAAGCTGTGCTCTTACCTGGTATGACTGCAGTTGTTTTACTCTCCGTTGATAATACTCAAAGACAAATGAAGCAAGGTGTGGCATCTCCTCAATCTGAAGTACATCCAAACCAGTTTGATCAGACAGCTGCAATACAAGATACAAGATGAAAAAGATGAAATATAATATGTGATACATTGTCCTTTAACCAATTTGTAGTTAAAACTGTGCATGATCATATAAATTTCAACTGACATAAACTGACACACAACAGAGGTTTATCTCAATTGACCTTGGATACAAGCATGCGCACTTCTAACTATGAATTGGCTTATTATGTCCTACAATTAAATCAGATCTGTATGCAGGAGACAGCACATCATTTTCCTTATATATGATTGTGCAAGTACAAAAAACGTACATTGTGTGTAACTGTTTCCATTGATGATTAATATTGGTCTAGTCTTATATATTGCTAATAAATATTATGTTAATATTACAATATATCTCAAAGATATATATTTCTTTGAGAACACTATTTTTTCCTACCTTTCTAGTTGTTGGGAACCCTTCACCTGGAACAAGCTGCAGTTTAAGAGGTCGTGACATTAACTGTGAGAGGAAAATTTAGATCAATGGAAATATTTTATTACTCAACATTTCAATAACTTACTATACAATACTAAGGCAGTTAAACCATAAAAGAACAAATAAAATAAATACATACATGATTTCTAAGCAACAAAGACTAGATGAGCAATGCACATTAGGATTTCATTTTCATACCTGATCAAAAACTGGTTGCAACTCATAACAATTTTGAAAGAGAGATGCTCTAGCAAAGATGTAGAGACCAAGTCGTGCTCGAGACATAGCAACAACCAGACGCCGGACATCCCTGTAAATATGAATGCATTACAACAAAATGAGATTAATGTAGTTGTAATGAGTTGTAGACTATTGGATGCCTGCTTTCCAATCTCAAAGTCCTTGATTCCAATCATGAGAGACACCAGGAGTTTTCCTCAAAACTATAAACAACTTAATAAAGAAGGCTCCTGAATATCACCTGACCTACCCAGCCTAGCTGAAAGGGTCATCCACTATTACTATGGTTTAAATTTAAAAAATGAATTCTCTTAGAGGACATTTCCCTATGGAACTTACCGTAAATGACCAACAGTCTTGGTTCGGACAAGAGAAAGTAGAATGTAATCATTTTGTTGACCTTGAAAGCGATCTACTGTTGTAACCTGTTAAAAAACCAATGTATGAAATTTTAAACCGATGCTGAAACGCAGCAAGTAAGTCTACTATTTTTATTAGTTTATCAAGAGATAACTTTTCAATTTAAATATTATATGAAACCAGATCAAATTTCAATGTACAATGACGATTGTTATTATTCTAAATATGATAGTTATCCAGGATGTTATATTTATCATCATCAGCATCATTGTAGTTTGTATTGTTACCTCCACCAAGGAGGTAATGTGTTCACTGCTGTTTGTCTGGCTGTCTTTCTACCTGTCTGTTAACAAGGTTATGTAAAAACTAATGAATGGATCATCATAACATTTAGTGGAATGGTACATAATAATCAAAAAGACACACTTCAATTTTCGGAAGGAAAGGTCAAGGAACAAGGTCAAGTCACAGAAATTCAATTTCTTATATTTAAGCATAAAAGAAAACTGAATCACAACATGGATTCAGGTAGCACTCAAGAAAACAATGTGCCTGAATACGGCAGGGCAGTTCCATTATATTCTTGAGGGTAGACTGTGGCACGCAAGAAAACAATGTGCCTGAATACGGCAGGGCAATTCCATTATATTCTTGAGGGTAGACTGTGGCACGCAAGAAAATAATGTGCCTGAATACGACAAGCATATCTGTTATTTCATTGCGTCTTGTTGGTACTGTATTCAGGAACAGGATGGAGGTATGCACGCTATGGAGGAACTGCTTTAGTTATTATTGTTTTTATTGTTGTCATTATTGTCACTATCATTATTTTAGATCTTAATATGCGTACCTTACTCGGCTCACCAATGAGTGGGTTGCTAGCACAGCGCTGCTTGATGACATCACGGATTAAATGCTTCTGTCCATTGTATGTTGTCAATATAGAAATCGTGTCAGCAGGATAACCTTGGAGACGCATGTACATGAACAGCGCTACCACATACTCAGCTTCAGCTAAATTCTAAACGGTTAAAAAAATCAACCGCAATTAAATCTTTAGCATAACATTTTTAGTATTTAGAAGTGATTGGCGCATCGGTTGTGGCTTGGACTTTCAGCCTTGAGGTCAGGGGTTCAAAACCCTCGCCGTGCAAGTCGCTTGTGTCCTTGGGCAATCCACTTCATCTACGTTTGTCTCTCTCTACCCAGGAGTATAAATGGGTACCTGGTAAGATGTTATAGCATTGAACGTACTAGTTTCCTGTGCCGAATACAAGCGCACGACTAGTTATACTCCCCAGAGCCCAGAGAAGGTTGCACTTAGTGCTGGTTTGCCATTTTATGTTATCCAATGACAAAGGGCAATAACGCTCAGCGTCTTTTGTCATTCATTTTGAATTGGCGCTATATCAATACTTGGCATTATTTGAATTTGAATATCATTCTAGACTTTCAAATTGCACTAAGATGATAAATGTTGCACAAGCAATTTTTAAATACTAGTTCCACATATCTATGTTATCATTATTGGTGAGGCTGTACTCATCCTCTTGAAAATTGCATCATCAACACTCTGATAGTAAAAAAGTGTATACTTATACTTAAGTGTATACTTATACTTAAGTGTATACTTATTCACTTGCATATTACATGCAACTCTATTTTAATGGAAATAAATGATCGATTAATTGAATAAAATATAAATAATAAAATTAAAACTAAATATGTTACCTGGTAAAAGTAAGGATTGGGCGCAGATTCGCCCACTCCATTGAAGTCCATTACATTGATCAATTGATAATCAAAAACAAGACCTGCATTAGCCTTCTGGAATTGGTCCTGTAGCTGTACATGAGGTAGATTACCAAGCTTCTTGTAGCGCCAACTGTACAACGCACACAAACTGTAATAAAAACAAAATATCAAACACAATTTCCAATGCTTGCTTTCCAATTCTGCCGTACTGTAGGCTCAACAAGAAATGGTTAAAGCATCCTAAATTTACCTGGGCCTAGCTCTACCCTGGGCATCAAGGTCTACTGTAGGAACACCAAGGCGGACAAGTCTGGTGAACAGTGACTGCTCCATGTTAGAGTATTTCTGGAACGCCATGTTCTTGATGACAGGAGGCAGCTGATGATGATCACCTATCATGATCCAACGTTTCAAACGACTAAAACCATCTTCAGGATTCTGGGGAAAGTAATTAGAATATTTAATATTTTTGGGGTATGCGGGACATTAGGATGTCCCTACCACTGGATAAATAATTTAATCAAAAGTGAGCAAGCTTTGGTCCATAGATTTATTACAGTAAACGTTAATTATCTTAAACATAAAAATAAAGGCTACGGTCACACTAGCGTCTCAAGCCTGACTTGACTCAACGCGGGTGAGATTTCAAGCCAGGCTCGAAATTCTGGGTCGGTCACACTAGCTGGATTGACCTCCAAATTATGAAAGTCGAAACAGCAGAGCCGTAAAGAGAGAGTTTGGCCAACTCTGTTTCACGGGATTCAATATACGCACGTGTGATTGGGTGGATCGCAATCAAAGATTTTACACCAGACGTGCCCGAACCACTCTTCTTCAACTGATTTTAATCAGCTTTTATTGGGCTCGCAATGCCTTCGCTTTTGTTTGAATTTGGGCCGTCGTTCTCTTCTCATGTCCGAGACTGGCTAATCTGTCAGCAAGCACGCCAAATATTCCCGTTTTGTTGTTTGTTTTTTTATTTTCTATCCGGTCTCTCAGCTGGGGTTGGCCCCACAAATCTACCAGGTCAGCAGTTTCCTGGTCGCTCCAAATCAATCGCATTATTATTAATTAACATTTGAATTAACTTTTATGAAAAGTAATGATTGCGTCTTGATTGAACACACATGAAGAACTCGCGGGTTTTTTATTCAAGAACTTTTAAACGCAACGGCGTCATCGACTGTGATTGGTTGACAGCCGACGAGGAAATGTCAATCTCGGTCACGCCAGGGTCAA